GAGTCATTAAACACCACCCAGCTTCCTGATTGGTGAGGTGACGAGGGAGCATGGAGTTGGCTTCCAAGCCAATCAGGAAGCCGGGTAGTGTGTAATGACTCGCCGCCCACCTTCCAGATACCGGAAATTCCAATATCGGGAGCAATTGGGCAAATACTTGGTATCAGCACCAATACCGATACTACTATCAGTATGGGTGCATCCCTAATATGTATTACTTTCTTACGTAACAGTGGCCGCTTCACATCTGACACTTCTGGTAGTGCTAGATGCCCGTGGTTCCTTTACCTAGCTTATACGTCATTACAGGACACAGTAGTGACTTTGGTAATGAAAAAGGAACCACAGAGCGCAGCAATGGACACAGGCATCTAAAACTACCAGAGCCAAAACCTTTTAAAATACAAAAGCAGCTTTTGCTATTTCACCTTCTCCTCTAACCGCTGGTCTTTCTTCAGGTTTAATGACACCCAGCATCATTCAACAATTCCCCGGGGCTTCAAGGACCTGCCCTCTTGAGGTGCATCATTATGCAGCATGGGCTTCCTGAAAAATGAATCTCCATTGCTGCTGAGGCACACAGTTATCAGGCCAGACACAAGATCCAAAACACTATTGGGATGCAGTAGAATGGGAGATTTGCAGAATGAACGTGCAGCTGACAAATCTAGAAAAATTGTGTGCATTGCACTATGCGGGTGCTGCAGGTGATGTAAACTATTTTGAAAATTGCTAGGACAGAGGGAGGGAAGGAAAACAGTTTTTTTTATTTTAGCAGGAGAGCCATGCAAAGTCTACTCTGCTAAAAAACCTTTCTCCTAGCAATTTAAACTAGAACAAAAGGAAAAAATGCATTGCCCAATAAAAGATAAAATAACAAAACCAGCTTTTGCTGCAATATTCACCTTTAATTCAGAGATTTCAGTGTGTCTTTTTTGCCACTAGATGTCCTCATTTTAATGGTCGGCAATATTCAACCCACTTCCTCTGAGCCCAAGTGGTCCTGGGCCCTTCCCCAGCCTGTACAAACAGCAAAAAGTTTTCCCAGCACACTCGCCAGCCAGCATGCAAAAAAACTTGTCTCACCGCTAAGGTTAAAAACAGAAGTTTAGATGCACGTCTTCTGCAGAAAATGTGAAAGCCGCACAGCCGTGCCAAGGCACCTCTAGATAGTGTGGTCCTGGGCCCTTCCCCAGCCTGTGACTGGACAGTGAAAGGAGAAGCAGCACAGTGATGAGCTCATCTCTCTGTCACTATGCTTTCTGTTCATATAAGCAGTCTTCTTGTCATTACATGAACTTATTGACTTCTTGTACTGCCTCTTCCTCTGACACTCCAGCCCTGCTGTACAACAACTGCAACAGGCTGATAGCATGTCAAATTCAGGTATTTACACTGCTTGCATTAAAAAAATAAAATAATTATGTATTATTGATTACAGGGCTCCATTCTTTTGTGTCTTTAATATGAGCTTACCTAAAGCTTCACTTTAAGATTCGTTTTAACTAGCTGGGACCAAATATCATAAAATGGGGTAACACAAAGAACAAAGCCAAGATGTACAAGATGAACTTTTGAACGAGCTACAAGAAAATGTCAAGCAGTAAACACATATCATTTTACAGAGAAGGATTAGAATATTTAACACGTAAATCAATACAGCTGGATTTACATTTTAATCAGGAGATCATTTTGCTTCTAACTGATGAGCTGCCATTACCCATAATGCCTCATTATCCTGGACCTGTGTAACACACAGGAATGGTTAAAAGATCTCCAGAGATAAGTCAGGGATGGGATTTCCTGGAGAGCCCCACTGGGGCCAATCTAACCCAATTACCTTTGCTATGTGCTCCAGCCATCTCCCCAGAGCAATAAACATGAAGAGCATGGGCGGTGTGTCGAAGAAAGTCTCTGGGCTCTGCTCAGACTTCTCTACCATGGCCACAATCAGGATAACCACGGAATAAATATAAGCAATGGTGGTGGCCAGGACAATCAGAACATCCATGTTGGTTGCCTTGTGCTTCAGAGACTTATAAGCCTGTACATAGAAGTACCATCCTCCGAGGCACTGTGAATCAGAGAGGATATCATTACAACCACAGTACATAGATACACTATTACCATATAATATTACCAATGATCATTTATATAAAAAGATTCATCTTGATCATTATTATAAGGTTACTGTTTTATTTGTGTAATATAGTGGTAAGCCTATGATGATAAATAAGGCTCAGTTCAAACTACTGTGTTACAGGAATTTGTGTATTGCATTGTGACAACACATTGGAACATTATTCTAAATGGCAACCCATTGCACTTTGCTGATGGATGTGTGCTGCAGTGCGCGAGGTGTGCTGCCAGAAAAGGTTCAGGTTTATCTTCTGGGAAGTTGAGCTGCATTGGCAGCCCATTCATTCTGAATGGGCTGCCTACAAAAGCACACATTAACGCAGCCCAGCAGAATGAATGGGCTGCCAATGCAGCTCAACTTCCCAGAAAATGAACCTGCACCTTCCCTGGCAGCACGCCTTGCACACTGCAGCACAAGACCATCAGCAAAGTGCAAAGGGTTGCCATTTAGAATGAATGGCACCGCATTGCACCAATGCATTGTCACGCAATGCAATACACATATTCCTGTACCACAGTAGTTTGAACTGAGCCTTATTGCTATGCCTAAAGTATAACCTGGTCCAAACCTGAGCTCCTCCACACAAGGAAGCACTACCACTCAATAAGCATCTAAACAAAGGGGTGGGATGCTTGTGTTAACGTAATTTACCTTATAGGGCCGCATGGCAGGGGTCAGTAGTAACACAGGGTTCAGAGGACAATAGTAAGTAACACAGAATTTGGAGGTCAGTAGTGTGTAGTAACAAAGGATGCAGGGGTCAGTAGTATTTAACACAGAGTGCAGGGGTCAGGAGTAAGTAACACATAGTTTAGATGTAATTGGGTGATCCATGGATGCAATCTTATTATACAGTATATAGGCATTTCTTATGTAGTATGACCATATACAATGTAATCGCAGTGCAGTATAATGAAAAGTAGGGTGTCCTCTACACAGTGACGCCCCGTTCACACATCTGTGCCACGTGCAATGCGCGGTGGGCACATTGTCGGCATGGTGTATAGTATCTATGATCAGGGGCCAGCACACCTGTCCCGTGACTCTGCTTGCTACATCGCCTGCTATTCTCTAACCGCACTTCAATCTTCTGTGGGGCAGAATCATTCTGCGATGCTGACATTGCCCTCACCCACCATATGGCTCTACACCAGGGACTCTTTGCTCGGGGTCAGTCATGATCTACCCGTCACCTGTCTACAATTGACAGACAGAACACAATTAACAAGTTGCCGACCTGTGCTATAAAGAAAGCCTGGAGAACTTGTGAAAATGAACCTGGACCTTCAACTGCTGGCTGAAATTTCAAAATTGAAATGTTCATCAACAATATTTCATATATAGAAAAATACATGAAAACACTGTACATTTCAACACCTTAGAAAACAAAATCAACACCCACCTGAACCAGTGTACAAAGAATAAAGAAGATGAGGTTCATAATGGATAGCCCAGGGATGATGTTCGCTTCCAGTTTTGATGGCTCTTTTCTTTTTTGGGCAAATAACATATAAATCATGATGCAGATGACAGGGATCCCAAAAAAAAGGCTGGACAAAAAGGAGTTCCTCCACCTGTAATTACATTTAAAAATGTTAATTTATATTCTAAGATGCATTCAATTCATTTATCACTTGTTTAACTCCTTCCTACCAAAATATAAAACCAACCAAAGTAGTCCTAAATATATAAAAAGCATCATCAGATAATACCACTGATTGTGGTGACTGCATTCACCTACACACCGTGGGGAGGTGCACACCATACAGCCCGCCAATGCCCTGAGGATGGCTGGCTATATGCATGGCAAATTCCCAGATGCTTCATGTAACTTTAGGGGTATTTTTGCCAAAGAAGACATACATTTAAATTAACATCAAATTAAAATTATAGTATTTTCAAACACTCTGGTCAGATTATTGTCTTGTAGGTGAGAATCAATATTTAAATGATTAACCTCAATAATGAAACAGGGAAAGTCTAGGGCAGCGGTTGTCAACTTATAAGGTATAGAGGACCTTAAATGTGGGCCCTAACATCACCAAAGGGCTGAACATAATGCTTTGCAGCTCTTTCCTCCCCGCTGGAAGCCGGCTGCATGCTGCGGTCTGTGTCCCCCCTGATCCCCGCTGCTCTCCCCTACCTGTATCAGCAGAGGCAGTAGGGATTGGAGGGGATACGGAGCCTATCCAGCTGCTGGCACCCAGCAGGGAGGAGAGAGCAGTGACACAGTTGCTGCTTTTAAATAAAGGTGGCAGTGAAACCACGGGCCGCCAGAAAGGGAAGTATAAATGCTCTTATTTTACAGTCCAAGCTTCTTTTACAAGTGACTCTGTGATGGCAGAGCATGGTATGTAACCAGCTGTAACTAGCACAATTAAATGTACTGGAAACGTGAAAAGTCTACCATCTTTTGTTGAAATTAGAACCTTGGAGCTGAACAGATGAAGGTGTTTGTAAGACATACAAGAAGGCCTGGTTTAAGTTTGCTACAAGCGTATCTGAGGATGTTAGCAAATGCTTTTAGAGAAATATTTCTTCACTGAGGCTGTCTCTGGAAACAGGAATTGGTCATTCATTTACAAATGTCTCCACCTTTTTGTACAATTTACAGTTTAACATTTGCTACAGGTAACTGTGGCTTTAGCTAATGCTTTCAGAAAAAAACATTTGCCAATGACTTGCTTATAAGTAAAATGTCTCTGGAAACAGTTGCTTTTCTTTTATTTAACTGCAATGTCTCTTTATGCCATTGCCATAGTTTCTCCTTTCCACTGCATCTTAGCGGGTTATTCACTAACTGTAGCTACAGCTGATCCTTCAGCTCGCTTAGGCTGCCGGAGCCCTTTGGTTCAGTTGAACCAAAGGGCTGCTGTACGGGCTATTAACAAAAGCCCTACAGCAGCCGAAGTCGGCCGAGAGGCTCTGCCGGGCCGAAGGCATATGCTTTGGCTTGACTGAGCCAAAGTGACAGCCGAAGCGGGGAGAACAGCCTGCTGAAGGCCGGCCGTTCACCCTGCAAATAACAGCTGGGCGGAGCTAGCCGTGATCTCAAGGCTGGCTCCGCCCAGTTGTAATGACAGATCAGTGTCCCCAAATGACCTGGGGACGCTGGTCTGTCATTAATCAATAACAACTGGGCAGAGCCGGCCGGCTCCGCCCAGTTGTTATTCATTGGCCAGGACCTGCTAGAAGACTCTAGCAGGATCCGGCCAATAGGAAACAGTTGGTCGGAGCTAGCTATCACCGCTAGCTCCACCCATTTTTTTCTTTAATTATCTTTTTTACTTGACTATTTGTTTAATTGTTTTACATGTTTTTTTGTTTTCTTTTCACTTATTTACTATTCTGCTCAGTACCACGGTGGTACCAAGCAGAATAGCCGAGCCGAATGCCGCTATGAGAATAGGGGCGAACGGCAGCGAGTGAGCTGTCAGAGCTTCGGCTCAGCCGATCCAGATGTTGGATCGGCTGAGCATGTCTGCAGAGCATGTTCGGCTGACCGAAGGCAGCCGATGTACGGCTGAAATCAGCTGTACGGAGCCGGAGTGAATAGCCGAACAACGTTCTGCTCACTTCACTTCAGCTGGGTTATACACTCGGCTGCCTTTGGCAGCTTTGTGAATAACCCCCCTAGTGTTTTGTTACCTGTTAGATTCTTTTTTTTGGTAGGGATGACAGATGTTATGACAAAATGTACCATAAATGATAGGCATCCATTTTTAGAGACAACTGAGGAGCAATCTGAACATTCAGAGCACAGCTAGTTTATGGCCACAGCTTGAAAACAATGTCACATTTACACAGTCAAGTGTTGAATGTACAATGGGATGGTTTGATGGACAAGAACCGGGTCACTCGGCTATATGGAACAAGACTCACGGCTACACAAATGAACACGGCCCAACAATCAGAGTACATTTATACTTACAGCCTTATTTCCTGTTTATGATCCAGGTTATGAGCTGTGGGATCCCTTTGGGGTAAAGATGCTCGAAATCCAATTCCCTGTTTAAGAGGCAAAGGAATTACTCCATAAAAGCGTATCTAAACCCAAGCACAAAAATGTAATATATTCCAGCTTTCCAGTGATATTAAAGTTAAAAGGCTATTGCAAATGCAGATGAAATCTCTTACAATGGACGCTGCTCCTTGATGTTTAAAAGTTTTAGTTCCTGCAAAATCAGCTGGTCCCCTGAGCACTGACCCGGATATCCTGTTATAGGGTGGCTTCTTTCCCTTGCAGGGTCCTATGGAGCCACACTTGTGTGTGCTACTAAGCTGTGTGTCTCCACAAACACACAAGCATGACAGGGCAAGCCTTTCCCCTCCTTTCAACTCCCTACTCCTCCCATCTCAAAGCTAGTAGATGGACAGCTGCTGCATACTACTCTATTCCTTGTGATCTTGTACTGGAAGTTCAGGGAAGTCGAGCTGAGAGAGTTGGAGCAGTTTGCAAAGTGCCTGGACAAAAAAAAAAACAAAGAAATACATTGCTGGGCAATCTATGTTTATTTGATCTGAATTAATTGTTCTAAAAAATGTAGAGCGTTTAATACTACTTTAATATGTGGTGGCTGCATTAGTTTTCTTTGTTTAGGCCTGTTTTCATTTATTTTCACCTGGTGATCCTGTAACATACTTCTATCCTAGAATGACAACACTCACTTACTGTAGTGTAACTGCGGAGGAGCAGCGTTGTCACTCTAGGGTTCTCACTCCTGATTTGGACTACAGAACACTCCCTCCCACTCATCCCTACAACATCAGTGGAGGAAGTGTTCTGTAGTCCACAGGAAAGGATTGGGCAGGGCTGATAACACTGTACAGGATTTCAGTTCAACAGAAGCAGATTGCACAGGGGACCTCAGTGGAATTCATGAACTGAACGGTGTCTTTATTGCACTACCAAAAGGGAATGGTTTTGCAATACATTTTGGCTGTGTGGTGCTGTTCATTATAACATATTGATAATAATATTACAGCACTATAGAGTTGTAGCGACTCTGCCTTCTGCAGTTGTGTCTCTATGAAATTTACAGGATTATTCACAGAAGGGTGAAGAGTTTGGAGAAGGGAGGAGAAGTGAACAATCTAGGACAACATAGCTGATTTGGAATAATTCTCCAATTCACCTCGCTTCCCAGTTCAGCTATGTTATCCTAGATTGTTCCCTTCTCTGGCCTTCTCTAAACTCCTCACCTTTTTGTGAATAACCATGAGAGTGCTTTTTTAATATTTATTTATAAACAAAAAGGTGAGATACAGAGAGCATATGTAAAATATATGGGCCACATGGCCTCACGCCAAACAAAGCCAATAAACCTGACAGAAAAAGATAAAACAAGGGACTAGAGACCATCCAATCAGTATCAAAGCATACATAGTATACAGTATAGTATATATGCATAGTTATGGTTCAGGTTAGGTCGGCCTCTATTCCTCCCATCCCCTGTGAGTGTTTTTATAGTGGGACTGTAACAATGCCAATAATGAGGCACCTGCATGTTGCTAATCATTTGTTGTTTTTTGGATATTGAGAGCATTCATTGATTTCTATTTTAACTCTTTGTATACTATTACAGTTAGGTTGTAGAGCACTTTATTGTCACTTGTTGAATGCATCTGCTTAAAGTACAGCTAAAGGCTCCTGTATGAAAGTCTAAACAAGTCCCAAATCCAGTTATTATGTGATGCTCAGGCCTCAAAAAATTAACTTCCCTACCTTTCCAGACCGAGCCAAATCTTTCTTCATTTGTGTCTCACACACTCCCCTTCCCAGACACTGCAGCTCACAGTGGGAGGGTTTCAGCAGAGGCAGTGCTGTCAGTACAGAAAGCAGTGGGCAGGGCTAGGTGTGGGTATGAGCTGTTTGTCACTGCTGATTCATAAACCTGTAGTTTGTCAATGCCAATAACCACACCCCCTACAATAGTTTTTTATTTCACTTTAGTGCAAGCAGGCACCGCCTACAAGAAAGTGGCAACTCTGCTCTGAAATCAGGAGCAGTGCAGAATCGTTGCCACACCATCACAGGAAGCTGAATTAGGTGGACTTTACTGGCAGACTCAACAGGTACTGTGTCTGTGGGACTTTAAGAAAACTGCAAGTACAGATGAAATCAGAATTAAGTGCTGCAGTGGGAGGCCATAGCTCTACTTTAACTAAAATCCATACAGGTCCATATATTAGCTGGCATACAGGGAAATGAAGTGTTCCTCCTCTGACTCATTAAGCTGTGGGTAGTCTGAGTTGCAGAAGTTCAAATTACATAGATTCTTCACAGTTAAAGCAGTAAAAAAACGGAAGAACATCTACCTCTGCAGCCTATAATGAGCCACCTGCTGGTTGCAGTTGGTTTACATGAATGATTATATGCAACATTTCAAATTAACCTCAATTATAAAAAAAGCTTTGAATCAATCTGATATTTTGACCGATTAGCCCTTACCTCAATCACATTAATGATGTCCCTCGGCCCAACAACTTCTGGATCAAATTTGATTTGTGCTTTGCAGGTACCCAGAGCTACGGCGGCCTGTAGAATCCCTGGCGTTCTCATCAGTCGGGATTCAATGTTATGAACACATGATGCGCAGGTCATTCCTGTAATCTAGAGATAAAAAACAGAGGACAACACTAAGTTATTGAACCGGAGATATACACATTCTATTCCATCATACAATGGACTGCCCATTTGTAATACAGTGTATTGGGACTATGCGTTTTTAAAATATTAAATCGAGGAGCACGTCAGTTTCCTCCCCAGCCCAATCCCTGGGCTTCTTCCAATACCTAGCTCTAGGGGATAGGCCATATTCAAAGAATCAAAGGCATAGTCGCTTTCTCACGTCAACCTGTAGCTAGCTGTGATGTTACAATGTGTTTAAAATCTGCGCTTTTGGTGTTTCTTTTCAATATAATGTGTCAGCACCAGTGAAAACAAGTGAATCCTATAGGGCTTGATCACACCGAAAGCGTGTGCGTTCCAGAGCGGTAGCTGCTGGAACGCACCGCGATCGCTGTGAAA